ACAACCCAATATATATATATATACACATATTGATACTTTTTTCAGTATTTTTGATAGGATTGATTGATTTTTGTAGAAAATGGATATTCTCAAACTTAAATTCGGGATATTCACATCGTTCTCAAGATTTTCTTGTAAATAGTAAGTTTATTGGTAAGTATTGAACAAAGGGATCGTGGATGAAGCCTGAAGGTGACAAAAAACCACTTCTTTTTCTTCCGTCGAGCTTTCGGCTATATTTAACGCCTTCCTCAGGACACTATTTCAGTACAATCAACGCTACAATATACATAAATAAATTATAATGATAAATCAACAACTACTTGTGACAGTGAAGCACATCCTAGAAGAATGCGAACAGCTGGCACGACATAGAGAGCGGTACGATCTACCTTCCTATCTCAAAAATTCTAAGGCATAACAGCGACCATAAAGATCGACTTATGACATATTTAAAATCAATAAACGCTTACAACCGCATATAACCCCTACATGTGGTTCACCCCCCCAACATTGTATTGTACGAACGTATTTATTAGCGTGAGTGGTTTAGCATGCGTGGGTGCGGCTGTGACTGAATATCGAGTAACTAAAAGGCCGACCAATTTAGTTTAGTGATAATACATTTGTAGTATGATTGTGGAAAGTGACGACAGCGTCTTGGTTGTAGTAATACTACCGAGAAGCTGCGTCCTTTCTAGTATGATCGTATTTATTAGCGTGAGAGGTTATGTGTGAATGGACGTGGTTGTCGAGGAATATCGAGTACTCCACAGGCCTTAGGATTAGTTTTATGGATGAGTGGAATTTATACGTACCGTTTGAATGTATTTATTCGCGAGAATGGCAGGAGGTCGGCAGGATTAGAACCATCTTACCGACCTCCACTTTAGTTGTAATATTAGGAAACTAGGTTTATTAGTATAAATGTGTATTATGTATGTGTGGGTATGTAAATGGTCAAATACCTCAATTTACCACATACAAAGAGAAATGCAACAAAAACCGTAAGGTCCGACGGGTAGCCAATTAGAATGAAATTATCAGTAGAAAGTGCACATTTTTCAAAATGTGAGAAAGATAAACGCGTGGTGCCGGCAATGACCGAAGCAGTTCGCCGGCCGAAAAAAAAAAAACTTGAAATAAATTATTTAAAAAAATTGAAAGTCAATTCTGACATGTGGTCTGGCAGATTTCGTGATGAATGACTTGGTAGATTGGGTCATTCACAATTAAATACATAAAGAAATATGTAGATGATTTATTTTTAATTGTTCCAATTGCTCATGTAGAATTTGTCTTGAGAGTGTTTAATGATTAGAAAATAATGGGTAATTACCTTACTTGGACATGTTAGTTTGTAAATTGAACAATGTAATAACTACAAAATGGTATATGAAATCTTCATCTTCTGAAAGGATTCTCAATTTCAATTCCTTCCATTCGTTTAAGTAAAAAATTAATGTGATTTATAATTTAATTGACAGAGTATTCAAACTGGGCTTTCCTCAGTTCCACCCTGATGGTAAAAAGACTGTGATCAATATTCTAGTCAAGAATGATTATCCTGTAACTCTAGTCAAAAAATTATTAAATTATAGAATTCTAATGTTTAACTGCAATACAAATGTACCTGATAGGAGTAGTGACCATACTTCAAGTATATATAGAACAATTACCATTATTAAGGAAATTTCTAATAAATTGTTTAATTTGGTTAAGAATAGAACGTCTAATTTGAATTTTAAATTTACATTTAGGTACAAGAACAATCTCAGAAACCATGTTTTTTCGAAGCTGAAGTCCCCAGTACCTACTGAACTATATAGTAATGTTGTCTACAAATTGCCTTGCAAGGACTGTGAAAGCGTTTATTATGGACAAACCAAACAGTTACTCAAGGGCCGATGTAGACAACATGAATATGATTGAAGGGACAAAGACAAACAGGGATCAGCTCTTTCCCAGCATTATCATTAACTCAAACATAAATTTGATTTTGAGAAAGTAGAGATTGTTGACAAGGAGCTTAACCTAGGGAGGAGGTTAATTAAAGAAATGCTCCACATAAAAGCTGACAATAACGCACGTAATTTGAGAACATGTATTTCTAAATTGAGCATTATTTATAGTTCTAGTCTTAACTGAAATAGTCATTGTTGGTTGTTTTGTTGTATGGTTTTATTTGTTTATTAGTATTTTCTTTCTTTATTTTTTGTTATTGTGTTCTTGGTAGTTGTTATAAGTGAAATTGTTAGCGCTAATATATCTCTGAAACCAAAGAAAATCACCTTAGGATAAATTTGTAAGCCATTGGCATCATTGTTCTGTGGGAATGATAACATGTTATCTCTCCTGGTGGTCTGGGTTGAGTTATCCGGCCCCGTCTATTCGGACCACATGTACCAATGGACTTTCAAGTTTTTTAAATATTTTTTTTTCAAGTAAGTTGTTGATTTACCATTACAATTTATATATGTATATTTAACAACATTGATTGCACTGAAATAGAGTCCTGAGGAAGGCGTTAAATATAGTCGAAAGCTCGACGGAAGAAAAAGAAGTGGTTTTTTGTCACCTACAAGGCTTTATCCCCGATTCCTTTATTCAATATTTATCAAGAAGGCCGATATTACACTCAACGATATTTATTGGTAAGGTGTAGGTTACATCTGTGGTCAAGTAATACAAGGAGTTGTAGCGACGGTTAGTTTCCAGTTTTTCATATGTGGATTCCACGTTATCTTTTATCAATATATAAGTCCGATCCCAGATAGGGCACAATATCTCAGGTTGGAATGGGGCCGCGGTAGCCGAGTGGTTAGCGTGAGAGACTCTCGGCTCGTACATGGGGGTCGTAGGTTCGATTCCCACCGTCGCCTCTGGCCTTTTTTTCACGCTACCCTTCCTCCCCAAAAACGAATACGCATAATACATTGTCATTGGCTAATATGGTCGGAACATAAAGCCATTAAATAATAATAAAAAAATGGAGTTTCCATTGAAACAGACAGAAGGATAAGTGGATTTTCGGAGTATAAAGGTGATGGGGGTTGATCGGTTTCTTTAATTTTTATGATCCAAGACAGGATAAAGTTTAAATGGAGTTGGTTGTCATGACTAACTAGATATGGACCAAGATTAGATGACAGGATATCTGTGTCTTCAGTAAAAGACGAGTTATTGTATTGGAAAACAGGAATGTCGGTGGTGTATATTGTGAATAGGAAGGGCCCTAGGAGGCACCTAAGAGAAGCCGTGACATGGCTTGAGCTACGAGAAAGACACATGGATACAGTTTATGCTCAAGAGGATGATGTAGTGTCCACAAGGCTATGTACTTGTGCAGCGATACGAGCTGAAGCCGTTGTGGTGAGGTGGGATATTAAGTTTCAAGCTTTAAGTTAGAAGCTTTTTGAGGATTATACCTAGGGCAGGAAGGAGATTTTCCGATCGATAGGAGCTTTTGGAATATATTGGAGACATTGGGTAGGTTTGTTGGATTGTGGGAACATTTTAATTACGGAATATTCCCACTGTGTTGGGAAGTGCGTTTTGTTGTACGGCGTTGTAGTTTTATGTCAGATTTTCATTTACCTGACTTAATTTATTTATTTCGAGTTCGTGACACACTAGAAGCGCTGGTTCGTATCAAAAAAAAAAAAAAAAAAATTTAGAGCTGTTTGTT